ACTCCCACCTGTCTTGTTGCTACTCCGCCCCCACATTCCTCTCTGTTCTCTTCCAGTTCTCTCTCAACATCCCCCGGAGAGACTCCAGCTACCCACTACCCTTCCCAGGCTGAAATCGTTCAGTCTCCGGCCATTCTCCCAGCATGGGAGACAGACAGATGGACAGAATGACAGTGTCACTGTGGCTGACTCTGCCTAGAGTCTCTGGCCTAGCTGAATTCGGATGGAAGACCATGCATCATGGTTCTTATCTTGGCTCAGAGACCCTGGTAAGAGTGGAGGGTGGCAAGTAGAAAAAGGAGGGGCTCACTACCTGTCAGATCCATCTATTCATTCATTTTTCCTCTGTGTGTACCCAGCCTTATGGTAGGTGGTGCTGGAAATAAGGAGAAGATAACAGAGCTCAGGCCCCTAGGACTGGAATTGTAGCCAGAGAAACCAGGCTGGCCCCGCAACCAATTAGAACAAAACAGGGCACAGCAGAGGGTCCCAAAGGAGTGGTCCCTCAGGGATTGCCCAGCTCCGTGGAGCACCCCCTGTGGCTGAGGTAGTGAGAAGAAAGGCCCAGGGAAGCAAAGGGGCCCTGAGCAGTGAGAAAGGCAAGGTACCCAGGCTGCAGGAGGTGGGAGCAGGGGAGCCACAGCAGGAGAAAGGAAGGTGCAGGCTGGGCAGGTACAGACAGGGAGCCTGAGAGGAACTGGATGGCTCTCCAGCCCAGGAGATGCAAGCTCTCAGCCTAGCTGAGGTTGAGACCTAGAAGCAACTGGAAAACCTGGCCAGGGGCCAGGACACCAGGACATCAGGGCCCATGCCTCAGATCCTTTCATCAGGAATCAGAACCGACACCTGAGAGGCCACAGTCTCAGGTTCCCCATAAAATAAACAGATACCAGGATGGAAACACCCAGGATGAACAATCCCCCACTGCCCTCCCCTCACTCCCTGCTCCCCTCCCAGCTCCCGAGAACAGGTGCACCTTGTGTTACAGAAAGAGACCTCCTTGGAAGTCTGGGGCAAGTGGTCTGCTGGGGTACCTTAAATTTTAGTGGGAGTATGCTCTTAGTATTTAAACTTTTTTATTATGAAAATTTGCAAGCACACACAGAGAGAATAGAATAATGAACTCTCATATTTCTTAGCTCAGCTTCAAAAATGATCACCTCATGGTCAATCTTCTTTTATCCATCTTCCACCAACTTTTTGTGGGGTGAAAGCATACACTTTAAAGCAACATGCTCTTGGGTATTAAAAACACAAATGTACTCCCACCCCTCTGACAGATTTTCATATATGAGGCTCACCGTCACACATGGCTCAACGATGGGGATGCATTCTGCGAAATGCATCATTAGGCAATTTCGTCGTTGTGCAAACATCATAGAGTGCGCTTACACAAACCGAGATGGTATAGCCTACTACACACCTAAGCTATATAGTACTAACCTTATGGGACCACCGTCGTATATGAGGTCCATCGTTGACTGAAACGTCATTATGTGGCACATGACTTATTTAAATGTGACAAAAAGATCTATCGTCTGTTAAACTCTCCCAGTGTGCCCTAGCAGGCTAGGGTGTTACTTGTTTACTCCTCCCAACAACTGGAGAAGTAGGGATAATTAAACAGGTGAGAGAAGGGTCACAGGTAGTAAATTACAGGGGCCCACAAAGTCCAAGGCCCCCCACCACACTGTTGCCCTCTGCTGCCCCCTATCTCCTTACCTTCAAGGGCACCCCTGGAGCGGCCAAAATGGGAAAAAAGATGAGTAGTGTTTTGGGAGTGGGGGAGTGTTGACAGCTATGCTTGTGGTCTGACCTCAGTTTCCTGAGCTCTGTTTACTCCTTCCCTGGCCTGATGGTGCCCACTCCCCGCCTTCTAGGACCCTCATGCTGACCATTCTTACCCTACACTCGCATTGAAACCTGCTCCAAGGAAAGGGGCCCAGGGTAGTGAGTGAGTTATAGTATCGCCTACAGCAGGGCAACTCAATAGACTTTCTGCAATGATGGAAATGTTCTCTTCTTCTGTGCTGTCCAATATGGCAGCCATAAGCCACATGTGGTTATTGGGCACTTGAAATGTGGCCCTATGTGGAAGGCGTTGAGTGCCAGGTAAAGAAGGCAGGACTATTCCCTGTGGGTGGAAGGGAACTAGGGGAGGTATCTGAGCAAAGGAGTGTGTGATGGGAGCAGGGGAGCTTTAGGGTTTTATGTGCTTATTGTTTGATTGTTGCCATTGACTGATCACAGCCTTCTGGGTGATGGACTCTAGTCCAAGCTCCTGCACGATCTCATCTAATTCTCATAGACAGCCTTGAGGCTGATGTTTTACAGATGGAGGAACAGAAGCTCAGTGTTGGTAAGTGTCATGCAATTAGTGAGTGGCAGAGGAATTTGAACCCTAGTCTATCTTGAAACCCTATGCCATGCTGGCTTTAAGAGAATTCAGCTGCTATCAGGATGTAAAAAAGGATCGGAATAGGAGGAGGGTGATGAAGTCTCCTACACTGGCCTCCAGAAACAGTGCTGGCACTCTAAGAGGACAAGTAAATCCTTGCTCATTTAAATTGATTTGAGTGAAGGTTCTGGAAAGGTTAATCCAAATCAGGCTCCCAGGAACTAAATCTGGCAATGGCCTCCGAGAAACCTATTTTCACCAAGCAGGCTGGGTATCCAAAGCTCTTACAGGCTTGCACACCGTTTTCTGTCTATCAGAGCCACTAACAAGCTGAGCCGCTTGGCAGGGTTGTTCCAGAGGCTATGGCCAGGCCTAGGATTGCCGAAGGGGACAGGTGTGAAGCCTTGCTGTGTGAAGGTAGCATTTCCGCTGGCCCTGTCCTAGGGCGCTGCCTGTCCCCGGGGTTCTCTGCAGGGGTGCCTGAGCTAACCTCCCCAAGTGGGAAGAGGGGCCTGGACCAGGGGACTGTAGGACCCAAAGACAAGGTCAAACCCAGAGATACAGAGTTCAAGGGAGCAGGACCAAGAGGCTCCCGTCTCTGGAAGTCCCTTTAAGTACATTTGCCTTCTCACCCTGCTGTGCCAGGTTTAGCCCTGTGTCCTCAATCAGAACTTCAGTTCCTCACACTCCCCAGGTCCTCTTGTCAGAACGCTTTCTGAAAAACTCATCTATCTTGAGATGTTAGGACATTAGATCCAATTTATTATAATCTTCTCTCCTGCTTCTCGGAAAATTACTTTCCATGGTGGAATTCCAAGCCCTTTAGGTTTGGAAGGATGGGCATTGAACTAAGATCTAACCTGCCTGTGGGCAAGACCAGCTTGGCTGATATCAAAGCAATTTGGAGAGAGTCTATGAGAAAACAACGCCAACCAGGCATATCAAATCAGATGTGATAAGTCCTTCAGTCTGCAAATATTTCCTGAATACCTCCTGTGAGCCTCGTTGTGTGCCAGGAGCTCAGAAACAAACAGAGCAGTGACAGAGGCAGCCTAAGAGCATAGCAGCAGGGACAGGAGCTTTGGACTTGGTGACAGAAGAATTACCCGAGTTTGAATTCAAGCTCTACTACTGAGCTGTGTGATCTTAGACAAATTATTGTCTTCTCTGAGCCTCCTTTCTAGCTTTCTTTGATTTGGGAGACAAAGCTGAGTGGTTAAAAGCTTACGCAACAGACAGCCCTAGGTTTGAACCCTAGTTTTGGCCACTCATTAGTGGTGGGCCTTGGGAAAACTCCTTGATCTCTCTATGCCTCAGTTTCCTCATCCAGAAGATGGGGGCAGCAGTTCTACCTTTCACGGTGGTTGTACGAATTAAAAATAACAATGCTGTGCAATGCTTAGTATACTGCCTCAGACAGAATCTCAATATGTTAATTATTATAACATTAATCACTTGTTTCCCCAGGATAAGGTGTCAGATGAGGAGGAAGAGGGAATGCTGGGAAACTGGGAGATAGGTTTCAGAAATGAAGCTGGGTCAATGGGAGGATGAGACCCCAACAGGGGTGGCTGGGCTTGGGACCCAGGGAACCTACTCAGAGTCATTGTACAGTTGTGCACAAAGGTGCCTGGCTGAGGGGGCGAGTGGAGGTTGAAATCCCACCTAACGCCCACTCTCTGGACAAGCTTTGCCTGTGCTGGCTGCATCCTGCACGGGGTCGGGCAAGCAAGCAATAGGATGAGGCCTGTCCTGAGAGGTCAGGGCAGGTCAGCCTCTGGGACAGGCAGAGGCAGAAGAAGGAAGGAGTCCTACAGATTAAGGAGTCTGGCGGCAGCAGCAGTTCAAGAGCCAGGACCCAGCTGCATGGGATGGCAGGGCAGAGCATCGCGGGGCTGCTAGGAAACCAAGGTGGGCATTCGGGAGGGGCTACCCCAAACACAGTGGTCCGCAGACACAAAGCGAAGGACCTGATAATGGAATGGACTGCAAGGTCAGGCTAGGCCCAGGCACAAAGCTGACTCGATCCTGGTTCACAGAGAGTGAGCAATCAGGGCCTGAACTTGCTGGTGATGATGATGAAATGGGCAGCTGTTGACGCTGGAGGGGGCAGGCTGTGGGGACAGGGAGCCGGGCAGATCTATAAAAGCTTTTTTCCAAAACCCTTGGCAGTCTGATGCTCTCCACAATCTGTGAGGCTGGGGAGTAGGATTCACCTCTTTCAGGAGGGGTGACCTCCCAAATGGAACAGCGTTAGGAGATATTCCCTGCCCAGAAATATTGCCTTCATGGTTTTCTGTGCTCCTACTATTACTTAGTTGTATTTTTGGATAAAGTCAAAGGTCACAAGCTCAGATGCTGTAGGAGTCAGGCAGTGGCATAAATGGCAGAAGGAAGCCAGGGGTAATGATAGGGAATGGTAGGGACTGTGGCAGCAAACCAGGGAGCAAATGTTTCCTTTAAGGAAGGTAGCAGTGGTGGGGCTCAGCCAACTCTGACCCAGTGGGAATGTGTGACCAGCACTTTCAGTTCTTCCAATTTTCCAAAAAAGCCAGAAATCTAAATTTTTATGTAAAATCTCCTGTTTTTTAAATATCAGCAGTTACGTTATTTTTTTTATTTTTTTTCTTACTAAACTTGAGGTTATCATGATGCTCACCAAACCCACAACCACCTATGGGTCACACACGGCCTCTGGCTTGAGAGTTCCTCTCTTCACAATCCCCTGGAGATGCAGCGCCCTCTCATGTGCCATCACCAACATCTCCAGGAAGGGAGCGCCACTCCAATGCACTCTTGCTTTCTTGTCCCTGAGTTTCTCCTTCTTTCTTGTTCCAGAGGTTCTGGGCATCTGAAGAAGATGGGGAAGATGGGAGAAAGCACAGAAAGAAGAGGCATAATGCTGAGGGGGTACTTCATTATTTGTCCCCCAGGACGTGCTGTGTGTCTGGTCTCCACCAGTCACAATCTGTAGACACAGGTTCTGGGAGATGGGAAGACAGCTCTGAGGCCAAGATGGTCCCATGGCTTTGTTCCACGTGCTGTGGGCTGGTCACAGCCCGAAGGGTCCATAGCTTCTCTCTGTGAGCCACCTCTCTCCTTTCCCCTCCCTTCCAAACCAGCTCTTCTGGCCTCTGTCACTCTGTGGTTGTTTTTATAAGACTCATCATACTGTGTGGGTTTTATTGGCCAGCTATTGCTTCTCACAACTCAACTCTGAACCTTTCAGTTGTGGTTTCCACCTTGAGCCGAGGGGGACTCCAAAGAAACAATTAATATATCCCTCCACCATCCCATGCTGGGGAGAGTGCCACACCACAAGGTGTGAGGGAGGGGTCTAGATATAAGGTCTGGCTTCAAAATAATAAACAAATCCTGAGCATTATTACCTAGCTGAGAAATGCGAGGCTCAGAGGGACTTGAGTCCCTGCCAGAGATCATGGATGTAGTAAAGGAGGCGGGACTGACACCCAGGGCTTGGCCTTTGTTTTATTACACTTTCTGGTCAGGTTTACAGACTGCCTCCCAGAGGTGCTTCCCCCAACCCCTCACTCCACCCCCACCTCCCACCCCCTGGACCTTTCAACTGGGAAGAGGGTTTGAGGCCAGACTGCAGGCCCTGTGCTAGGAGCTGTCTGGAGAATGCACAAGAAGTGCAAGAATAAGGCCCTTCAGTCTGCCTGGTGAGAGGATGCACATGGAATATCGCAGAAGAGAACAAGAGAGTGTCCATTGTTCCTTCCTTCATTCCACAGGCATTGATTGGGCTCCTATTGTGTGGTCTGCACACAAACTGTCCCCAAGGGGCTTATAACCCACTGGCGAGACAGCACTTTGACTCCGCCACGTTAGAGCTGTAAGAGTCCTTTTGGATCATCTAATTATGGATAATCTGGAGTTTTCAGTCTCTCTCTACACAGTAGCATTTTAGAAGCCTGGTCCATTAATCAGATCAAGGTGGGTTCTCTGGTGGAAGGGGGTGGAGGAAAACCTCAGGCTCTGATCCACGTGGCTCCCCGCCCTCCTAGCTCCCATCTATCAGAGCAGTCTCTGAGGAACCCTCCTGGGAAAACCAGTGCGAAAAATCACTAATCTGGTCCAACCCCTGAAATCCCAGTTTCAGAAACTGAAACTCCAAGAGGTCAAATTACTTATCCAAGGTCACACAACCTGCACTTCCTAATTGCAAGCAGGTCTCTTTCCTCCTCCACGCTGTCATACAGTGGTATAAACACGAAGTCTCAAGAAAGGGAAAGGAGACGGTGGGGCTGCGGGGGAGCAGACAGAGCTCAGTGTAGGCTGCCAGGGTCAGGGAGGCAAGAAACTTGAGTGGGGGCCCTGAGGGTGGTTGAGAGGGGCAGGGGTCAAGCAGGTGTTAAATTCCAGAAGCCAGTAGATAAGCAGTGTGATGTCAGTGGAAAACTGGGATGGGGCTAGGATCAGGTTCGCTGTGGAGAGAAGGCCTGGGGCACAGGCTTCCCAGGTGGTAGAGGTGGAGGGCTGATTTTTTTCCCTCCCAGTTCACCCAGTTGAATCTGCTGATGGGCCCCAAGTGGGTTTGCCTTGAGAAGCACAGCAGAAGGCTGGAAGCCCAGGCAGGCAGGCGCACAAGTGAGTGGAAGAGATGTATTAAGTAAGCCTTAGGACAGCAGCTGGCTTGCATTAAAAATGAATCAAGATGATGTTTGAATGAAAACAAGAATGGAGCGCTGGGGAAGAGGCGTTCTGAGGCCTACCGGAGGCACCGCCAGGGCGGGGCAAGACGCCAAAGCGAGGGCCACATCAGCCCCAGGTATAAACCCACGGCATCCCGTGTCTATGTGAGTGAGACAGGAAATGTGGAGTTGGCTTTGGAGAATGGCCCTTCCTGAGGCCTTCTGGGAACCTTCCTTCTCTTATCCATAAAACAGGCAAAACAATCTCAACTCTACCTCATTCTCAGGGCTGCTGCAAGGAGCAAATGAAATAAAGTTGAGAACCATTGAAGGCTTTTACCACTACTGGGGTCAAAACTGAACAGGACTTCAGCGGTGTCAAATTATGTGAATTGGCCCTGGAAGGGGACTGGAGACGGGAGAGTGCCTGCTCCGACTAAAGAGGGTAAAGCCTCGTGCTGGCTGAATGGAATGCATCTGCCTGTCCCTAACCCGCACGCCCTGAACTGTTTGGCAGATAATTGCTCAAGGTCTGAGCCTCCCAATAGGATATATATTCTAAAAGACGCCTCAAGAACTGCCCTGTCCATTATGATAGCCAATAGCCACGTGTGGCAATTTAAATTTAGATTTAAATTAATTAAAATTAAAAATTTAGTTCTTCAGTCACACTAGCCAAATTTCATGTGCTCAGTAGCGACATTTGGCCAGGGGCTACTGAATTGGACAGCACAGATACAGAACATTTTCATCCTCACAGCAAGTTCTGTGGGCCAGCACTGCTCTGGAACTATAATGGCAAATGATAGGTATTGGGGTGCATGGTTTCTTCCCTGAGACTTCTACATACAATACACCATGGATTGGCTTCTTCCTCCACCTAAGTTCAAGGTTAAACCTGGATCCCTTGACTGCTTTTGCCACTTCCTTTAACCTCTGGGCTTTGATAGCTTACTACCTCCTAAGACTGAAACCACTACACCTGTCTTGCATCTGCTTATGACTAACGGTCCAGTGGGAGAGGGCAAAGGGCCCTTCCAAAGTTACCATGTCTTCCACTCTATTAGCGACTGAGAGCAGGAATTTCTGAATCCTTAGAGGGATGGCAAGCATGATAGAACCGAGGGAGACATTCTGGCAGTTAGGACCGAATGGTACCCCTCAAACAGCATGGTGGACGCCACCTGCTTCTATCAGGGAGGCAGGACAGCAAAGTTATTAAAAGCACGTGCTTCCCGGGTTGGATCCCAGCTCCTCCACTTATTAGCTGTGTGGGGTTGGCTTTACATAATCTCTCTGAGCCTCCGTGTCTTCAGAGGTAAAATGGGAATGGTACTTACTTCAGAGGGCAGTGTGGAGATGGAGTTAATGGATGGCAGGCACCTAGAACAGTGGCTGGCACGGGGTAAGCATGAGCTAGTAGCAGTGGTAGTAGCAGCAGTACTACTAGTATTAGATCCTTGGTATCGTGGCCTCAGTGGGGTTTGTGAATAAGGCGAGTTCACCACAGGCACCAACGTTGCTGCATACTCAGTACACTTGTCCTCCCCGGCCCTCCCCACAGACCCCCTAGATTTTTCCATCATGGTGCCTGGTGAACACTTGTTTGTTTTTTCAGTGTTAAGAGCTGGGCCCCATCACCAGGGGCTTGTCCTGCCTTTGCCTCATCAGAGAGCTGCCTTGGTTTTTCCAAAAGTGCGCCTCCAGCACCATGGGTACTGCCTTGGCCAAGCAGTGAGCTGCCCAGCGGGTCCCAGAACTCCTTCGGGGAAGCAGCCCAGGCTCGTCCTTATGCAGGGCGGACAAGGACTGGCCCTGAAGGTCCAGCTGACCCAAGACCAGTGCCTCCAGACAGTGGCACCCCAAAGGGAGAGCATCTGAAGCCAAAACCAAGTTGAGTCCATCACAGTCCCTCTCTCCAGAATTTGAATAAAGGAAGGCCCAAAGAATGGGCAGCTGGCTAGCAACAGAGGATGCAGTTGAAGGGTGAGAGCACCAGAAAAGCCCAGGATTGTCAAGTGAGAGCTGAAGGGAAGAGGCTACAAAAATTCTGCGGGCAGTGAAAGCACTTCCCTGAGCCAGGTGTCCCTGGACTCTGGGCTGGGAGATGAGCTCTCTGGCAGGGGAGTGGAGCAGCACCTTCCACCCTTGCCTCCACATGCATGCTTCCTTGGCACTGGTCCGAAATGCTTCTTCCTCTGTGTTCACTACAAGCATGGAAGGGAATTGCACTAAGTATAAGCACAGAGGCTCCTTAAGCACCTTTAGAATGTGCTTGAACTTATGAAAAAAAGCAGCCACCATTAAAATAAACAATTTGTGGGTTGAAAATATTGGTGTAAACACAGCCCGGCTGCCCAGCGGCTCCTTTCTGATGGGCATCTGAGTCTCTGGGCCAGGACTGATCAGGTGGTCTGGTCCAAAGAAGACCCCTTTCTCCTCCTTGCTTCATGGTGTCCCTCTGTCAAAGAGAACTGGCTTCCCAGATAAAGAGGTCACGCTTCAGTCAAGGGTCTGCCAAGGCGATCTGATGAACTAATAAGACAGCAGCTCTCACCGAAACAAACTCTTTGGCTGAAAACAGATGAGTCAACCCAGGTGGCAACGCTAAGGCTCTGAGCAAGTCTATTTACCCTTCTTGGCCTCGGTAACTTGTCTGTAGAAAAGGAGAAGGGAATTTGGAGTAAAGGGTCTCTCTGGCTCCTTGCTCTTTTCCCATTGATCCCGCGGACCCTCAAGACACATCTCCCTCTTTAGCCTCTCAGCCCTCGGCCTTCCTAGCGCGCTAATCTCCTACTAAACAAACCACAGCAATCCTTGTTTTTCTTGTTCTCCTCTCCCATTCCTTCCGCTGACATGACAAGGGTCTGGGTTGGGGGATCCTCGGCCGGGGTGTGGGGAAGAACAGTTAAGTGAGTGGGGCGGGCTGGCGGCCGAGCATTTGCTGTGCTCTCCGTTGTTATTTTCGACCTTCTGCTTACATGGAAGTCTGGGTGAGGCGGCCTGGCACACCGAACGTGCCTCTGTGAAAACTGAAAAGGGAAAATTAAAAAAACACATGCCTAACAACCACCACTTCCTAGTAAACCGACGCCTCCTCTGCTGCGAGAAGGAGCCTGGCCTGTTTCCGCGGGTGGAGGAGGGGAGGGACCGCATCAGGCCCTACCTACCTGCGGCCCTGGGAGCGCTGAGGCCATTTCCATCCAGGCTTCAGAAGTTTCCTTTTGTGGCATCACGGTGTTAAAAATATTCCTCCCCGAAGGCAACCGCGGCAGAGCAGATGTCCGTGACTGAGCACTTGGGAAGGAGCTATTAAAAGGAACGTAATTAGGTTGTCATCCTGGGGCCTCCGAGCCAGGCTTCCGAGCGCCATCTTTGTTGAAAGTTTTCCAGACGTCAAATATTTGCAGAACCCGATCTACCAAAAAGGCTGTTAATACCCAGTAGGACTGGGCTGCGAACGGCAAAGGCAAAATGACACCGCAGGTCAAGGTGGCCTGAGGCCCTAAGACTCCTTTTTCTGTGTCCTTTCCCCATTTTGGGTCCCAGCCTGGCTCCCTAATTTCCTCTCCCTTCCTCCACACACCCCCTGGCATCACAATTTGCTCTTAGGAAAGGCTCTGTCAGTCACTGACCCCTTAGCATGAACATAAGTAAGCCACTGAGCACCCCTCCCCTCTCCAGAAATGTGGGATTCATGCCTGAGCTCTGTACACTTTAGGGAACAAAAGGCTCTGTCTCCTTTGGTAAAAGGGATGCCGGGCACTGGAGCCGAGGTGGGGGAGGGCCTGCCTAGTGACCCTGAAATTGCACTTCAGGCAGCCACCTACTCGGCTATGTTTGGAGCCAGCCCGATTCCAAGCTCCATTCTGCCTTGGAGGCATATCTGCTGTACTCACTCCCCTCCCTGCGGCTTGTGAGACCCTGCAGGCTCCTCTGTCCATCCATCTCTTTGGCCGTTCCTGTACCTATGCATGCGACATTTATTGAGAGTCCGTGGCAGGAACCATGCTGAGGGGTAAAGAAAGTGGTGAGCATCAGCAACCAAGATCCTTGTCATCGTGGAGAGAGACAGCATAGATGGAGAAAGACATTCATTAGATAGTTACAGAAATAAATGTCAACAAAGGAGGAGGAAGTGCACGGTGCTGTGAGGACGTGTCAGGGAGGAAACTGACCTGTCAGGGAAGCCGAGGAAAGCCTCCCAGATGAAGTGACAACTGAGTGGAGCGCGCGTGTCCGTGTGTGTGTGTGTGTGTGTGTGTGTGTGTGTGTGTTGAGAGGGAGATGTCCTCCTTTTAACTGCAACAGCTTGTGCAAAGGCCCTGGCTAAGCCTGAGAGGAAATAGCACCATTTTCATGAGATCTTTCTTCTATCGGACTTTAGGAAACATCAAGGATTGTGGTTACAAAAAAAAAAAGGTAGGGGGAAGGATGGAGAATCTGAAACCAGTTTCTGAAACCCTCTGCAGTAGACAGACTCCTAATAGGCGGTTGAAAGATGGCTCTACAAACAAATCAGTCCAGGTTTTCTTTGATGACAAAGAGAGCTGGCCCTGGCCTCCTCCTCCTGAAGGCCTGCCTTGATATTCCGGCCTGCTTTTTACCTTTAGTGATATATCATGGTTATTTCCCTAAGTCAAGAAATACTATTTTATGATAGAATTGTTAACGGCTAATACTCCAGAGCAGAGAAAGCCCAGTTTCTCTCAATGAACCCGTTGTTTGGACATTCAGCTTGTTTCCAATGTTTTGCAATCCGAAGGAACTCTTCTGTGAAAGAACAAGCTTGTATATTGTCTTCGCCCAGTATAAATTTTGCTACAGATTAATAAAGTTGAGGGCCAGGTTTACTAAACATAAGTTTTCTTACCTGCTGGTCCTATACGCCGGGTTGGACGGCAGTGCTTTTCCCACACTGCGGAGGGAAGCTTGCTGGGTCCTCGGCCATCAACTGAGCGGGTTTGGAGGAAGGGCTAGGAGGACTCTCAGCAGGAAAGAACCTAAGCGGGCAGTGGCCACATGCTGGGGCATGGGAGATGGTCAGTGGGGCTCAGTCACAACTTCTTTCTCCACCTGTTCTTCCCCATCATAGTGGACCAAGTCTATGCAGGAGGAGGGCTCTGCCCTGATGCTCAGCACTCCACCTCACCTGTATAGACGAGCCTGAGAGTGGGAGGGGCTGGACCTTCAGCAGTAAGTTCTCTGCAGGAACTTTCTCTGGAAAGCTCACAGCCCCCAGAAGAAATGTAGAGCTGCCTGGAACACGTGTCAGAAGAGAGAGTCCCTGGAGGAGATAAGGCTGGGAAACGGGAGACCAATCTGTGGTCTACAGTTTGTTATAAATGTATTGAGTAAATCATCTAATCTCTCTCGGCCTCTGTTTCTCCATCCATCACGTGGAGTTAATCCTCTTTTATCCCTACTTGACCAGGATCATGCAAAGATGCAGTAAATAACTACATCTACTTCAAATGAGCTAATCAACTTAAAAGTGTATGGAAACAGGCTGGCGGAAAAGAAACCAAGACTGAATAAGCCATAGAGCATAAGTGGGCTTTGCGTTTTGTTACTGTTGTATCTCCAGTGCCTAGAACTGTGTCTGGCACATGACAGGCACCCAGTACATATTCGTAAAATGAACGGATGAACACATACGCATGTACTCCATCCCGGACACCATGCTAGATGCTTCATAGGCATCATCCTGCTTAGCCCTCACAAACAGCTCTTTATATAAAATACTCCCATTTTGCAGATATGGAAGCTGAGGCTCAGACTGGTTAAGTACCTTCCAAGCATCGCACAGTTAGTATTTGATAGGATTTAAATTTGAATCTAAGTTCTTCTGATGCCATTCCCCCAGCTCTTCCCACCTGTTGCGGGAGAAAAGTTGCTGTGACGTGTGCTGATGTTACTGTGCACTAAACGGGATACTCCTCGTTGAAAGCATGCAGTCAGTGCTCTAGAATATGATCTATTACTATAATCCTCTATTCATTAGTTCATATTTTTTTATAACCACGTTGTAGGCACCTCAAGGGCAGGGGTCATTCTTCTCCACAAGCCTGAGCAGAGTAGTTGCCTGACGTACCGATCAACTAAATAGCACTATTTTATGATGATCATGAAGTGGAAGCAGAATTGCTTTCTTTAAGGCAGGGTTTTCTGCTTTGTGGACAAAACTAATCGGACCGTGACTTCAATGGGAAGCCAGAGCAGGCCGTGACTCTTCAGGAGCTTGGAACCCTGGTGGTCAACAAGGAAACAGGTAAAACTGGACACCAGGGAAAAGAACAGCAACCAACAAATGGAGTTTCCAGGCCTCGGCTCCGACCCTCCGCCGACTCCGGGGCACCTGTCTACAGCCTCTGGCTCCGCCCCCAGGGCCTGCAACCTGATAGGCTCAGCAAATCAGAGGTGGGCGGAGCCTTGGAGAGAATCTGGCTCAATCCCCTGGCTCCACCCTTGGCTGCCTGGGATAGCTGGTGCCGGAGGCGACTTGACTCAGGAACAGGTCAGGGTTCCTGGAACGCTTCCCTCCCCTGCCCCACCCAGAGGCAATGCAGGAAAAGGGACTTAGTCTTTCAGTCTCTGGCTTTGCCCTTTACCAGCGTTGAGCCTCAGTTCCTTCATCTACAAAATGGAGTAATAGTTCCTTTTCCATAGCGTTGTAACAATTAAATAAAATGTAACAGGGAAAAGTGCTTAACACTGGTACCTAACTCCTTGCAAGTGCTCAAAAAAATCAGTTGCCTCTAGATAGTAATGTGCCTGAGGGCAGGAACTACATCTGAATGACAGCTTGCTGGAATGCCTGAATGGCTGAAATCCTGCCATTAATGCTTCATCTCTTTTTTTAAAACTTTTTTTTTTTTGAGGAAGGTTAGCCCTGAGCTAACTACTGCCAATCCTCCTCTTTTTGCTGAGGAGGACTGGCCCTGAGATAACATCTGTGCCCGTCTTCCTCTACTTTATACGTGGGATGCCTACCGTCATCTCTTCTGGTAAGCCTTGTTTGTTTCAGGCTTCTCTCGAAAATCTCTAGAAAGTTTAACACCCTATTTCTTTCAGGGGCCTGGGGACAACATGAAGGGCTGGGTACCTGGGGAGGAAAAGGGGCCACTTTCATAACGAATACAAATTCATGGCATTACAGGCCCTGCCTGGCTGCCTGCACCTCATTTTGGACCTTCTTGCTCCAGGGTGCTAGGTCAGCCGGCTTTGACCCACTGCGTGCTATGTGAGGGATATTAAAGATTGCATCAGGTCACCAGGGAAGGTTTGAGATGGGCTGAGTTGCTCTTGAGGGGGGAGTGATGTATTCCGGTTAGAATTAGGGAATGAATGATTTAGAGGAGTGGTTAGAATTTGGGCATTAAGAGTAGAGTTTGGAAGTCAGCTGGAGTCAGGATTTGGTAATGAGTGACCAGTGAATTTCTGAGTGAGAAATGGAGAGCTACTAGTAGCCAGATATGGTGGGGGCCGTCACTTTGATCTGAAATTTAAAACGTTCTAGTCCAGGGACCTGCCTCCTTTCTTATGAGAGGCCAGAGATTTCTCTCCTCTGACTGGCTCTTCAATAGGCCTGGGTGTACCTGCAGACAGAGCAGGCTGAGCACTGAGTAACGTACCAGGTGTAAAGTCTAGCATATAGGGTCCTAGAGGTGTCTAGGACATAGCCCCCTACAATGAAGCGGAGGAGACCAGGATGTAAATGACCTGGTCTAGGCCCAGCCCTGGGATAGGCCCAAAGCCCAGGGACTTTGGGGAAACCTTAAATCTCCTAGCCTCGGCTTTTCCATCTGGCCAATGGACCTCAGGGGGCTGTTTGGAAAACCTTGACTGATCTTGGAAGGAAAGGACTTTGAGGTGAATGTGCACCCTAGCAGAGTAGGCTGCTTCCAAGTGAACTATAAGGCAAAGTCGGGGTACCTTACCCTCAGGAAAGGCTGATGGTTCCCCTGCCCTCCAGGAAATCCCATTTTCCTACTCTGGTCACACCCACCCAGTCTTTCCCAAAACGATTTCCAGCAGGGACTTATGCCTCTAAACAGGAACTGACAAAGAAACAACTCACACTAAAAGCTTTCCCGGCTCCTAGTATTCCCCACCACACACACACACACACACACACACACACACACACACACACACACACCAGCCAGCCCTGGGGCTGCAGTATGACCAATCCTGAGTCACCTGGATAAACTGAGGACTCAACAAATATTTATCAAATGAATGAATGAATGAATGAGGGAATGGGTGATGAGTGGCTCCATGAATGGGCAGACACTCCCTGAGAGATGAGACTGCTTCCTAATCCAGGATGCTGAGTGCTCCCAAACAAAGTCATTTGGGACTTTCCTAGTGAATGCTCCATGACGGAGCCACACCCTCTGCTTTTCCTCAAGCTCCATGTGTTTTGTTGTCTCCCCAACTTCATTGTGGGGGACAGTGTCCTAA